TGGCAGTGCCACTAAGGCTGTCGGTGGAGCTCCCTATGGGGCTACGAAGTATGTGAGGGGTGTGCCGAAATGGGTGCGGGGAACGCGTGTGGACGGTAGCACTGGGGCCTTGGGTGGAGCTCCCTGTGGGGCCACGCAACGTACGAAGGGTGTGCCGAAATGGGTGCGGGGGACGCATGAACGTGTGTGTGGGTGGGGGGGTGGGGGGGGGTGGGGTGGGGTGGGGGGTGCGGGTGCGGGGGTACGCATTTGGACCGTGGCGCTGGGGCTTTCGGTGGAGCTCCCTATGGGGCCACGAAACGTGTGAGAGGTGTGCCGAGATGGGTGCGGGGGGCAAATGTGGATGGTAACACTAGGGCCTTCGGTGGAGCTCCCTATGGGGCCACGAAGCGTGCGAGGGGTGTGCCGAAACAGGTGCGGGGGGGCATGTGGACGGTGGCGCTGGGGCCTTCCCTATGGCGTCACGCAACGTACGAGGGGTGTGCTATGATGGGTGTGGGGGACGCATGTGGGCGGTGGGACTGGGGCCGTCGGTGGAGCTCTCATATGGGGCAACAAGACGTGTGAGGATGGGGCTCAAAAGGGTGCGGGTGACACATGTGGACGGGGGCACTGGGGCCTTCGGTGGAGCCCCCTATGGGGCCACGAAGCGCGTGGGGTGTGCCGAAATGGGTGCGGGGGACGCATGTGGACGGTAGCACTGGGGCCTTTGGTGGAGCTCCCTATGGGGCCACGAAGCGCGTCGGGTGTGCGCCGAGATGTGTGCGGGGGACGCATGTGGACGGTGGCACTGGGGCCTTCGGTGGAGCGTCCTATGGGGCCACGAAGCGTGTGAGGAGTGTGCCACGAAACGAGTGGGGTGTGTGCTGGACTGGGTGCGGGGGACGCATGCGGACGGTAGCTCTGGGGCCTTGGGTGGAGCTCCCTATGGGGCCACGAAACGTTTGACGGGTGTGCCGACATGGGTGCGGGGGACGCATGTGGATGGTGGCGCTGGGGCTTTCGGTGGAGCTCCCTGTGGGGCCACGAAACATGTGAGGGGTGTGCCGAAATGGGTGCGGAAGGCGCATGTGGACGGTAGCACCGGGGCCTTCGGTGGAGCTTCCTTTTGGGCCACGAAGCGTGCGAGGTGTGTGCCACGAAACGAGTGGGGTGTGTGCTGGACTGGGTGCGGGGGACGCATGTGGACGGTAGCTCTGGGGCCTTGGGTGGAGCCCTATGGGGCCACGAAACGTTTGAGGGGTGTGCCGACATGGGTGCGGGGGACGCATGTGGATGGTGGCGCTGGGGCTTTCGGTGGAGCTCCCTGTGGGGCCACGAAACATGTGAGGGGTGTGCCGAAATGGGTGCGGAAGGCGCATGTGGACGGTAGCACCGGGGCCTTCGGTGGAGCTTCCTTTTGGGCCACGAAGCGTGCGAGGAGTGCCGAACTAGCTGCGGGGGGGGCAAGTGGGCAAGTGGACGGTGGCGCTGGGGCCTTCGGAGGAGCTCCCTGTGGGGCCACGAAACGAGTGGGGTGTGAGCTGGACTGTGTGCGGGGGACGCATGTGGACGGTACCCGGTAGCACTGAGGCCTTCGGTGGAGCTCCCTATGGGGCCACGAAACGTTTAGGGGTGTGCCGAGATGTGTGCGGGGGACGCATGTGGACGGTGGCGCTGGGGCTTTCGGTGGAGCTCCCTATGGGGCCACGAAACATGCGAGGGGCTCGCTGACATGGGTGCGGGGAACGCATGTGGACGGTAGCACTGGGGCCTTCGGTGGAGCTCCCTTTGGGGCCACGAAGCGTGCGAGTAGTATGCTGAAATGGTTGCGGGGGACGCATGTGCATCGTGGCGCTGGGGCTTTCGGTGGAGCTCCCTATGGGGCCACGCAACGTACGAGGGGTGTGCCGACATGGGTGTGGGGGGCGCGTGTGGACGGTGGCGCTGGGGCCTTCGGTGGGGTTCCCTGTGGGGCCACGAAACGTTTGAGGGGTGAGACGAAGACGATGACGATGATGATGGTGAAGGAGGAGGGAGGAGGGCAGCGGGAGGAGGAGTGAGAACGCGGGCGCTGTCTCGCCAAAAAGAAAACCCAACACCACAGGACGGTTGGGAAAAACCTGTGACGGAACTGGCAACCAAAACGACAGAGCGGAACCGGTAACTTGAGCAGGGACCGACCGTCCCGTCATTCCTATAGTCCTACCACGACATGTTCTTAGAACCCCAAAATGCTCTAAGAGAGCACAAGCAATGTTCTTAGACCATAAACCCGATGTGATAAATTATTCACTGCGTGGGGATCCCCATATGTGCATCTCCTTGCTGGCGCTCCCTTGGTGGTGGGACTCGGTGAGGACGAATCTGGATTCAAGTGTGACTGAGCTGCCTCTCTCTCTCTCTCTCTGCTCTCTCTATCTCTCTCTCTCTCTGCCCTCTCTCTGTCTCTGCCTCTCTTTCCCTGCCTCTCTCTCTCTCTCTCTGCCTCTCTCTCTCTGCCTCTCTCTCTCTCTCTCTGCCTCTCTCTCTGTGCCTCTCTCTCTCTGCCTCTATCTCTGCCTCTCTCTCTCTCTCTCTCTCTCTTCTCTCTATTCTCTCTCTGCTCTCTCCTCTCTCTCTCACTCTCCCTCTCTCTCTCTCTCGCTCTCTCTCTTCTCTTCTCTTCTCTTCTCTTCTCTTCTCTCTCTCTCTATCTCTCTCTCTCTCTCTCTCTTTCTCTCTCTCTATCTCTCTCTCTCTCTCTCTCTCTCTCTCTCTCTTTCGCTCTCTCGCTCTCTCTTGCTCTCTCTCGCTCTCTGTCGCTCTCTCTCGCTCTCTCTCTCTCTCTCTCTCTCTCTCGCTCTCACTCGCTCTCTCTCGCTCTCTCTCGCTCTCCCTCGCTCTCTCCCGCTCTCTCTCTCTCTCTCTCTCTGCTCTCTCTCTCTCTCTCGTCTCTCGCTCTCTCTCTCTATCTCTCTCTTCTCTTCTCTTCGCTTCTCTTCTCTCTCTCTCTCTCTTCTCTCTCTCTCTCTCCCCCCCCCTCTCTTTCCACTTTCTCTCTCTCTCTCTCTCCTCTCTCTCTCTCTTCTATATCTATCTCTCTCTCTCTCTTCTCTCTTCTCTCTTCTCTCTCTCTCTCTTCTCTCTTCTCTCTTTCTCTCGCCTGTCTCCTCTCTCAACTCCCCCCCCTCTCTCTCTCTCCGCTCTCTCTCTCTCTCTCTCCTCTCCCTCTCTCTCGCTTCCTCTCTCTCTCTCTCTTGCTCTCTCTCTCTCTCTCTCTTTCTCTCCTTCTCTCTCTCTCTCTATCTTCCTCTCTCTCTCTCTCTCTTCCTCGCTCTCTCTCTCTCTCTCGCTCGCTCGCTCGCTCGCTCGCTCTCTCTCTCTCTCTCTCTCTCTCGCTCGCGTTCGCGCGCTCTCTCTCTCTCTCTCTCGCTCTCTCCCGCTCTCTCTCTCTCTCTCTCTCTCTCTCTCTCTCTCTCTCTCCTCTCTGCTCTCTTCGCTACTGGCTTCTGACGGAGTCTGGGTTAGGTGAGCCTGAGTGTGGGTGAGTCTGAGTATGGGTACGTCTGTGTGTGCCTGACTCTGAAGAAATGAATCTGAGTGTGAGTGAGCTTGTGTATGAGTGAGTCTGGGTGCGAGTCTGAATCCCAATGGTGCCCCTGGCAGTGTCTGGCGACTAGGAGGCCCGGGTCGACTCCTCTTTGGGAAGCCAAAATGCTGCCCCTGGCAGCGTTTGGTGACTATGAAGCCCCTGGTGGACCCCCCCTTGGGGCTCCCAAATGATGCCCCTGGCAGCGTTTTGTGACCATGAGGCTCTCAAGAGAGACATGTTGGGGAGGCCAAACGGCAATTCTAGCTGAGACGTCCCACCAAAATCGGCGCGAACGGGCTCGTGAGATCAGCCAGGGTGGCTCCCCCTTGGGGCTCCCAAATGATGCCCCTGGCAGCGTTTTGTGACCATGAGGCTCTCAAGAGAGACATGTTGGGGAGGCCAAACGGCAATTTTAGCTGAGACGTCCCACCAAAATCGGCGCGAACGGGCTCGTGAGATCAGCCAGGGTGGCTCCCCCTTGGGGCTCCCAAATGATGCCCCTGGCAGCGTTTTGTGACCATGAGGCTCTCAAGAGAGACATGTTGGGGAGGCCAAACGGCAATTTTAGCTGAGACGTCCCACCAAAATCGGCGCGAACGGGCTCGTGATATCAGCCAGGGTGGCTCCCCCTTGGGGCTCCCAAATGATGCCCCTGGCAGCGTTTTGTGATCATGAGAGAGTGTGAGTGAAATCTCTTATCTTGTCTTAGCTTATCTTATATCAACTCATCTTATCGCATCATATCTTGTCTTATCTTATTACTCCATAGGCTGTCTTATCTTATATATTATCCTACCTTGTCATATATCTTATCTTACCTTATCATATCTTGTGCTATCTTATCTTATATTGTAGTATATTATCTTGTCTTGTCTTATCTGGTGATTATCATTGGGAGGAGGGAGGCGCGAGCGGGAGGAAGGAGGAGCAGTGGGAGGCGTCAGAGTAATAACAAGAACCCCAATCCTTAGGATATGGGGAAACAAAACATACTCCGCCAGAAATGTTCTGAGAACATGTCGTGGGAACCACGAAAGATTCTTATAACACTAACTGGTAGGACGCTTCGCCACTGCTCGAGTCACAAACGGCCCTGCCGCTTCCAGAAACCGCTGAGCCCCCAGCAGCCCCGGCGCCCTGCTGCTGGCAGGGCGCGCCGAGGCCCACCGCTCGCGCGGGCCGCCCCCCAGCCAGGCTTAGGTCGGGCGTGCCCTCCTACAGGGGGATGTTGGGCGAAACCTTGTAAATATCTTATGCGCAAAATAATCAAATTATCGTCCCCACTGTTTTTTTGATTATTTTTGAATATCCCTCCTGTAGAGGGGCGTGCCCGACTTAAACACCAAGCCCCCACCAGCCCGAACGACGACGCCACTGGGCGCCCTGCTACTGGCAAGGCGCGCCGAGGCCTGCCGCGCGCGCTGGCCGCCCCCCAGCCAGGCGGCTCCTGCAGCGACGCGCGGTCATGCATGCCCCGAGCGCCACCGCCTCGGCGGAGCGGGAAGAGGAGAGCAAGAGTCCTCCTCCCCCTCCTCCTTTCCTCCTCCTCCTCTTTCTCCTCCCTCCCTCCCTCCCTCCCTCCCTCCCTCCTCCTCCCTCTCCTCCTCCTCCTCCTCCTCCTCCTCCTCCTCCACCTCCTCCTCGTCCTCCTCCTCCTCCTCCTCCAGGCCCCCTAGATAGGGTCGGAGTAGATACATGGGGTCGGAGGATCGCGCCGCATCGCCGACGTATCGCCGATGCGGCACGACGTGCAGCCCGATTTGCTTCATGTCGACGTCGGCGATGCATCGCCGACGTCGACGATGCATCGCCGGTGCATCGTCGTTGCATAGACGATGCGGCGAGATCCTCCGACCCCATCTACTCGGACACCACCCTCGCGTCTTGTCAGAAACACGACGGACAATTTTTTATGGCATCTTTAGGCCTCCAAGGGGCCTGATGCAGGACGGTCCCTGGCAGGGGACCTGGCCTCTTGGGAGCCACGCTGTGACAATCACGGCGTCGGATGTCTAGGTGGGAGGGCGAAGAGAAGGGCCTAGAGGAGACCAAGAGGCTTCCCAGAGTTTCCGAAAAGGCACCCCGAGAGACCCCAAGGGGTATAGACGAGGACTCTGGCGCACCAGGCGCAGTGACGAGATTGGCCGCAGTGTCAACTAGATCCGCCACTTCCTTTGGCTTGGTCTGACGTGCCCGGTCTGCGAAGATTTTCTTGGCCCTTCCAGAGAATTCCAAATGGCCTCCGGTCCAAACAGCTGGACACCAACCAGCTGGACACCTGGCGGAGGAGGAGGAAGATGAGGAGCAGGAGGAGGAGGAGGACCAGTGTAAACCCGAGAGTCATCAACGATGTTGGAATGAACCCTTTGATGGAAGACAACCGTTTGAAGGCATTAAGACATGCCAAAACATTATTCTCGGGATTTCCACGCCACGGATCGACCTGACTTCTGCGTCCTGACGATCTGGAACCGTGCCAGAACGCCATGTTCGGGACTTCGACGCTGCGAGCCAACATAACTGCTGCACCCGCGTGATCCTGAATCCTTCCAAAGCACCATTTCTGGTACGATGACCATGGAAATCCTCGAAACTCATGCGTTTTTTCTTCTTCTTTTTTTAAAAAAAAAAACTATGTGCACGTTCTTAAAGGAGAAAACAACTATGTGCACGTTGTTCAAGGAGAACAACAGTTTGAAAAGGAACCGTCCCGAATCCGTGAAGCTCATTCGAAGGTTTAAAACGAACGTGCGCGGCGCTAAGGCGAGAACCGCATTTTGAAAACGGCCCGCCCTCAATCCGTGAAGCTCCGGCAACAATTCAAAACGAATGTGCGGTGCTCTAATGCGAGAAACATATTTTGAAAACCACTTGCCCTCAACCCGTGAAACTCTTGTACATGTTTAAACGAATGTGCGCGGCGCTGAGGTGAGAGCCACATTTTGAAAACCACCCGCCCTCAATATGTGAAGCTGTTGCGATTTTTAAAGCATGATACCGGAGAAAAAAAACCCAATCAGGGCTATAGGGCTAGGGGGCTATAGGGCTATTGAGCTATATATCTGTAGGGCTATAGAGTTGTAAGGCTATAGGGCTATACGGCTATAGGGCTATAGGGCACCCCCGGGCACCCCCGGGCACGCCCAGGCACCCGGGCACCCGGGCACCCGGGCACCCCCTGGCACCCCCCGGGCACCCGGGCCCCGCACACCCCCGGGCACCCGTGCGTGCAGCGAAAATCGGCGACAAATCTAACCATATGAATCCGCTAGGACCCCTACAGAGGCAAGCTCTGATTGGGGAATCAGAGCCAAACGTGGTGAGGAAATCTCGGGCGAAACGCCCGGCCCGCCCTGAAAACTGGCCTCGGGGTGCGACAGGGAAAAGTTGCTTAATCGGAAAAGGAATGGAGGAGGAGGAGGAGGAGGAGGAGGAAAAGGAATGGACGAGGAGGAGGAGGAGGAGGAAGAAAAGGATGCTTCCCGACTCGGCGGCGCGTCGCCGGGGGGAGGCGCAGAGGGCAGACCAGCTCAGAAAGGGCCCCGCAGGCCTCCGGCCTTCGGAGGAGCCTCCTGGGGCCTTCTCTGGAGCCCCCCCGCCTTGTGAGCAGGCCTGCACTCTCTGACTACCGAAGGGGCCCAGGGACACACACACACACACAAGTCCAAGGATTCCCCATCTTTTCCAACAGTCTCTGGCTCTTGCTCTTCACCCCCACTTCCCATGCTTTCCCAGATCTTCCTGGGGATCGACGATCAATCGCGCCTGTGTGTGTGCTGTTCCCCTTCCGAACTGCCCCCCTCGGCGCGACGCCGACCAGCGGCATCCCCGCCATAGATGAGCGTCTCTGCGTCGGGCGCCGCGCTCGGGCAGGCGCGCGCGGGCGCGGCCGCGCCTGCGACAGTTCGGCGCGGTGGCGCACGGACGGGAGGCGAGAAGCAATACACGGACCCCTACCCCTTTGGGATGGGGATCCGAGTTAGGAGGGCCAGAAACATTCGGGGCAGGGGGTCATTTCTGCAGACGTATCCAACCAAACGGCCCAGATCTGGTATCCATGGTGCAAAGACGGGGACCTAAGTGAGGCCACGTCTTCACTTTGTTACTGGGGAGGGTTAGGGCTTCTTTTGTTCTCGATGAGAGGAGGGGGACGAGGTGGAGGGGGAGGACTCCAGAGTGGCCCCGCACGCGCCCGCGAAAGGGCGCAGTGCACAGGCAGACGGGAGAAGCAGGAGGCAGCCAGCGACGACGATGACGACCACAGACGACGACGGACGAGGACGACGACGACGACGACGACGACGACGACGACGACGGCGGACAACGACTGCGACGGCAGCGATACGACGCGAGGACAAGACGCCCGCCAAGACGCGACGACGACGACGACGAAGACGACGACGACGACGATGACGACGACGACGACGACGACGACGACGACGACGACGACGACGACGTCGACGGCAACGGAGGCGGCAGCCGCTCGCGCGACGGCCGCAGGGCGGCGGGGCGCCCATGGCGCGCCGCCGCCCTTCCCCGGCGCGGAACCCAGACAGACGGCCACCGCCTGCAGGGTGACGCCTGCAGCAGCCCGAACCGCCGAGAGGCGGGGTATGGCCCTCGACAGGAGGAGGAGGAGGAGGCGGCGGAGGAGGAGGAGGAGGAGGAGGAGGAGGAGGAGGCGGAGGGACGAGGAGGAGGAGGAGGAGGAGGAGGAGGAGGGACGAGGAGGAGGGGTCGAAGCGGCCTTGCAGACGTGCTGCAGCGGACTTTGGCGTAGATTTCTGCGTGGACTGTTTCCCGGAGCGGCGAGCGGAAAACGAAGCGAATTTCGACTGGATGTGTTTTGGTCGTCCTTCTTGGTCAATAAAAAATCCGCGCGAAATCCACCTCGAAATCCGGAGCGAAATTCTGCAGGACACTCCGGGCCAATCCTATCGTTTTCCGAACGAAATCCGTCTGCAATGTTGGCGCCATGACCCTAGAGGCTCGGGCACGCGTCGGAGAGGGCGGACTCTCCCGGGGGCCTCTTCTGGGTTCGGCATCCCCTGCGTGCGGGGGTAGGCGGGAAGTCAGAGGGAGCTTCGGCTCGGCCATTGTGCCCTCTGGTGCCAAGGGTCGGGTCCGCTCTCCCTTCGCGGGATGCGATGGAGTTTGCTCCATTCTATTCCAACCAATGGCCCTCGCCTTGCCCCTGTCCGAGTCTCCGCTGCACAAAAAAACAAACGCAATAAACCTAAACTGTGGTCGCTCCGTGCGGATTTCTTGGATCTGCGCCGCCCCCCCCCCCCCTGGCGCTGGGGGCGTCTCCGGGAGGGGCCCCGCGCGGATCCAAGAAATCCGCGCGGAACGCCAAAGGTACTGTTTATGGTTTTGTTTATTCTTTGATGCTGGTCCCATTGTCATTTCGAAGGCCGTTTGCCGTAGCACAGGCAGGAGCCAAATCACGACCCTTGAAGAGGCTGCGCGATTGCTACCTCGGCAGCCCGTCGGGGAAACCATCCTGCCTCAGTGCGTTCATGGCGTACTCGGCGGGCGCGCGCAGCAGTATCAGCCCCAGAACAACGCCCGCACGTCGCCACGATCTGATCCAAGCGCTCACGGCAAGCTCGCGCGGCGTGGAATTCTTCGGGAGCGAAAGCTTCATTTCAGCCAACAGGATCAGGCACATGAAATGCACGAATCACAATAGGAGTCGTGGGTCCGTGCGCCGTGTCGTCGACATTCATGTTGTTGTCCGGACACTAAACACCAACATCCGCAACGCCAGAAACATGATGCTGCGCAATGACCGACCGTCCCTGCATTCCTATAGTCCTACCAGGGAATTGTCTTAGAACCCAGCACAGGTTCCAAACATAATAGCCATGTTCTCAGGACGTAAGCCCGATGTGTTAAAGCAAAAACGTACCAGCCATAACTATTCTAGAACAGCTCGTGGAAACCACAACCGATTATTAAAACATTGTTCGGTGGGTCTATAGGCACGCTTCGCGACTGCTGGAGGATGGCCGCCTCCGCCAGGATGACAGCAAACTGACGGGCCTCTCGGCGAGCAGCCCCGAGCTGATGGGCCCCGCCGAGCGGGGTACACGCCCCGCGTGGGCTTTTACCCTTGTACCCCTGGTAGCCCGTCTGCATTACGGGAACCCGACGCAAGGCCTGGACTGCCCGCGCCGGGGCCGCGGAGAGCGCCACGGAGGCACCGTGGCGCAGAGCAAGGGTAGTGCCGCAGGGCCGCGGCGTAAGAAAGGATTTGGCAACGGCTGCGGAGAGGCTGCCGCCAGGCGCGAGGTCGCGTCCCGATGGGGGGCGGCCTGGGCCAGCGTTGGTGGAAGAGAAGAAGGACGAGGTGATTGGGGGCGGAGAATTAGAAGGCGAATAACGGTATAACATAAACTTTCCCGCCGTCGGGAACGCCTGCCCCCGGGCGACCGTGCCCCCACGTGGCACTGTAAGGGCATGAGCTTCGCAGCCGCTCTGGGACAGGCGCCCCTGGCAGCGAAAACATGTAAGTTATACCGTTCTTCGCCCGAAGAGAGAAGGATGTTGTGGAATGGTATGGGTTGGCCCTCAAGGCGAAGTCAAGCCTCAATCAAAACTCGAGCTCCGAATCGCGATCGATCTCAGGGCACTCGTCGTTCGCTGAACGCTCGAGGGCCTGGCGCCCGAGGCCGCGGACCGCAGGGGGGCTGCCCTCCCACAGCCCGAACGCCCGCAACACCTCGGAGAAGGATGAGGCGGGCACCCACCTGGAAGGTCAAGTTCTCCTTGCTCGCCCGGCTGCTATCACGCCAGGGCCTTCGCCCTGTCATCCCGTGGGCAAATCAACCTGGGCCTTCCCTCGGCGAGCTGGCGGGCATGGGTGGCGTTACCTCGGAGAAGGATGAGGATGATGTGGAGGAGGAGGACCAGGACGATAGTCAGGCAGGAGGGGGGACGAGGAGGGGCGGTCCCCTGGCCGCAAAGGTGACACCAGGCAAGCGTGACCTCTGGTGCGCGGCGCGCCGGACCGCCGCGTGCCGAGGGCAGGACAGGGACAAAACCAGACCCGGACAGATCGGCGATCTCTGAACGATCCGACGGTTCTGGAGGATGTGTCGGAAGCCGCGGCCGTTCCAGAGCGCTCCGCGACGCTCTGGGAGCCTTTCAGAAGGCTTTTTTATTATATATATATATATATATATATATAACGATTCGCCCTGGTCCCTGCCCCGCCCGACCCGCGCCCCCCCGAGAGGCCGCGCACCAACGGCCTCTCTGGCGAGGGGCCAGTCCTGCGTGCAGCCGAGGGGGGGTGGGAAGGGGAAACAGGGAGAGTACGCGATCGCAGCGGCCGCGAGCGGGGGCCGGGAAGCCGAGGCGGCGGCGGCCGCGCCGAAGGCACCGCCGACGGCGAGCAACACCGTCCGCGTGGAGGCCTCCGTGGACTGATCCGCGGCCGCCGCGTCCGGGGGCAGCAGCGCCTTGGGGGCCACGGTCAGCGAGAGCGAACGGCGCCATCGTGATAGGCGTAGGTCGGGCATATCCCCCTACAGGCGGATTTTGGACGTAACATAAAGAATAGTTCAACAGTGCACCAAAATGATCAGACATACCATAAACATCGTCCCAATACTGTCTCTTAAAACTGCTTTTGAATATTCCTCCTGCAGAGGAACAGGCCCGACTTAATGGTAGGACGAAGGACATCATAGGCCATCTGCTGCAGTCGAGACGTGGCCAAAAGGGAGTGGGTCGAGTGCACGAGTCCGTTCGCCGAGGGCCCGAAGCCACACGGAGGCACCCAACACGGAACTCCTTCCCGGTCGGAGGGCGTGAGAATGGAGAGCATGATTGTACCCCTCCCGAGCTAGGGTTGTCTTTGATTTGGTGTAGTGGTCTGGTCGGAATCTGTCTCCCCGAGGGGAACGATGCATTGAACGAGTGAACGCGTGGTGGGCAGGCGGACTATGGCTGAGTCGTGGGCCAGCTGGTTGACAGATATTATCGTTCGTCGATCATCAAGTGATGTGTTTGCTGAACCCTTGATTGATTGGAGGCCAAAGCCTGTTTGATTCAATGCTGAATCGCCTTGCTGGGGCAATCGGTCGATCGACTATGGTCGGTATGCCCCATCAACAGCGCCCAGATGGAGAAGAAACGATAGGGCAGGCGGACTAACAAGGCAGAATCCTCTTCACCGGCCCTTCTCTTCCTCCTCCTTTCACTTCCTCCTCCCTCCTCGTCACCTATCATTGCCACCCTTCGCCTCCTGTAACAAGACCCCTTCTCCTCTACCTCGTCATGTTCCTCCAAATCTCCCGCTTGTCCTTTTACTCCTCGCGTCCGTATTCGCGATCCTCCGCAGCAGGAGCAAAAGAGAGGGGTAAAATGGGGTGCGTCTTCCTTACGCACCCCATTTTACCCCTCCGTCTGACGGAAAGAGAATCGATACGACGATGGGGGAACAAAAGAGGCTCCCGTGACCCCGCTCCTGGAGGGCGCGGTGCGGCTTGCAACGTCTTGGTTGCTCTGGGCGTCGCCCCCCCCCGAGGCGCCCGTGACAAATCCGTGTCTGCACGCAGCCTGGGATCTGGGTAGCAGACAACATCGGGGGCAGCCAGGATAACGAGACACACTGTCTCCGAGCGGTTCTGCTCGTCCGCTGCCCCAATTGTTCCACCAATCCCCATCCCCTCCCACCGTCCCCATCCCTACCTTCTCCGCATCCTCCGCCTCCACGGCTCCCCTCTGACCTGTCCTCCTTCACCTTCTCCTCCTTCCTCTCCCCCATCCGTCTCCTTCCGTCGTCTCGCTCCCCTCATCAATTTCACGCATGGCTTCCAATCAATATTACTCCTTCCTCCACATTCTGCCCCTTCCCCTGATCAATTTCTCTCCTTTTTGGCTTCCTCTCTGGATCTCGGCTTCCTCTCTGGATCCGGTGATCTCCGAAGTCCCTTGAAGTCTGCAGAGGCCCCAAGAAGTGCCAATAGGGTTCGGAAACCTCATTCCTCCTCGTCCGCCCCCTCCTCCGCCTCTGCGACTCGACTCGGGCATGCATGTGTCCGCTGCCTGTCCTCCAGCTGAGGAACGGAAGAGAGGGAAGGAAAGGGGAACGGAGAGACAAGGTCATTGGCCTCGCTTGTGCAGTCCAACGTCTGCATCCACCTCTGCCTCGTCCCCCCTTCGTTTTCCCCCTGGAATGATTGAGTGGGTTTCCCGGGACTTTTGCTAAATGGGAACTCCTGCCCGCTCGTGGGGTCCTCGTCGGCGCCCCGTGCGCCGGGTGGGCTCCCAGGGACTTCGCTGCGTCGGCGCCGTGCTCGCTCGTGGGCGCCTCGTGGGCGCCCCGTGCGCTTGCGCCGCATAGCTTGCACCACATACCTTGCAACGGGTAGCTCACGCCACCTAGCTCACGCCACCTAGCTTACACGCCTTCGCTTACATCACAAGTGTTACGTGGCTTAGCGTTCACAGCACAGCTCCCGCCACCCAGCTCACACATCACAGCTCGTAGATCACCCGGCCGAGCATGCACAACATGGCTTACACCACATAGCTCGCACGACATAGCGCACAACTCAAAACTTACGCAACAACGTTAATGCCACATCGCTTACACCACATACCTTCCATCACACAGCTCGCGCAGGATAACTTACACAACATGGTTTGTGCCGCATAGCTCACAACATAACTTCCGCCTCCACAGTGCAACAATTCACTGAATGGGGCCCTTGCGATGTGCTATGCCCTGCGAACGGATAGCGTATCACTGCGCTCCGTGGGTGAGGCTGCGAATCGCTCGGGACGTTAACGCTTGGAGACAATGACTTGGTTAGCGTGTCGCGCCGAACCGTGGTGGCCCAGAACGGGTGGCGCGACACGCTAAGCCTTTGAGTTCCCGGAAGTAGATAAGTCCTCGCAGTCGCATCCTGCGGCGCGTCGGAAGGGCGGGTCGGGTAGTTCGCTGGAGACCACCTCCCAATGTACGATCCTGAGGCGTGAACACTGTAGCAGTTACACGGGTGGATGGGAAGGGGTTTCCAACATGGAACACTCGCCCCAACGACGCGAACGTTCGTCTCGAAACTTTGCAATTGTTAGAACACGGGATAGTCGTGATTTGTCCAGTGGAGCTCTCGCTCGAACGCCACTCACTTTCGCTTTCAAGACCTACAACACTTACAAGGATGGAGGCGATCTGTCTTTAGCAATGAGTCATCACCTTAATGCCTCGCATATTTGTCTAAAGCGCTTGCATCAACGACAAGGATGGAGGGATAATCTTCCAAATCGATCTCTCGCTATACCACCGCGCATTCGCCTGAAAAACGTGCATTCGGCACAAGGACGAAGGACGGTTCCCTTTCAACATGGGACTCTTGCCTCAGAGCTGCACGCATTCGACTCAAAAGCCTGCAGCAGTTACGGTGACAGAGGACGGTCTCTTTTCATAATGGGACGCTCGCTTGCGACTGGGACAGATGTAGCAGCGCTGCACACATCAAGGGCGGCTCCTTTGCAAAATGCGGCTCTCGCTTGGGACACCCTCGAAACCCACTGCCAGAAGAACAAACATGCGCAAAACGGCAGTTGTTTCAGAACTGCCATCTCGCTGGAAACCTCGCTGACCGGTGTGATCATACGCATTTCCTGTTATTCGCTAAACGGATGCAAGCCAGTTCCGTTTGAAAACGGGGCCCTCGACTGACTGGCAGCCCCACGCGGTAGTGTTTATTCGATGGGGGGCGCTTTGGAGGGTATGGAAACAACGCTTGCGGGGACTGACGGAGAGGTGACCTGGGGGAGGGTGCATCGCGCCATCGTGCACGCATCTTGGGCTTACTCCGGTTCTTCTCCCAAGAGCTTCCAAACGGTGCGGTGGCCATGCCATGTGGTGGCCGCACGGTCTTGGGACTTGGATCGTTCTCCGAGGTTGTTTCGGGCGGTTGGGGCCCCAGAAGTCTCGAAACCGCAAGGTGGCGGACCATGCGGCGAGGCCTTTCGGGATCTCGAGGTCCCCGCACAGTTTGTCACCACACATTTTCGGCATCCCCTCAGGCAGAGAAGGGGGAGGGGGAGATGCAGGAAAAGGAAGAGGAGGAGGGGGAGCAGGAGGAAGGAGAAAACAGGAGGGAGGAGGAGGACGTGGAGGAGGAGGGGGAGAGGAGGAGGAGGAGGGAGGAGGAGGAGGGGAGGAGGGGGGGGGAGGAGGAGGAGGAGGGAGGAGGAGGAGAGGAGGAGGAGGAGGAGGAGGAGGAGGAGGAGGAGGAGGAGAGGAGGATGAGGAGAGGAGGAGAGGAAGAGGAGGAGGAGGAGGAGGAGGAGGAGGAGGAGGAGGAGGAGGAGGAGGAGGAGGGGGGGGGGAGGAGGAGGAAGAGGAGGAGGAGGAGGAGGAGGGGAGGAGGGGGAACGAAGAAGAGGATGATGAGGGGGCGGAGGAGGAAGAGGAGCACAAGGAGGGGGAGAAGGAGCAGAAGGAGGAAAAGGAGGAGGAGGAGGAGACGGAGGAGCAGGACGAGGAGGAGGAGAAGGAGGAGGAGGAGGAGGAGAAGGAGGAGGAGGAGGACAAGGACAAGGAGATGGAGGAGGAATGAGTGGGATGAGGGAGGATGGAGGAGGAGGATGAAGGAGGAGGGAGGTGGAGATAAAGGAGCAGGACTAGGAGAGGAGGAGGGAGAAGGAGGAGAAGGAGGAGGAGGAGGAGGAGGAGAACGAGGAGGAGGAAGAGGAGGAGGAGGAGAAGGGCGAAGAGGAGGAGAAGGAGGATGGAGGCCGAGGATGGGGCTGGGGATGAGTATGGCGATGAGGATGAGTGCGAAGATGAAGGGGGAGGAGGAGGGAGAGGGCGAGAGTAGGCGGAGGAGGAGGGGGAGACTGAGGAGGAGGAGGGAGAGGAGAAGGAGCTTTCAGGGCTTTCCGCCTCTCGCAGGTGCGAGTCTGGCCTCGCGCTCCCGCGCGCGGGGCTCCCCATCAGGGGCCGCGGGCCTGGGCCCCGCCCTTTCTCCGAGCGCGTCTGGCGCTGGCGCTTGGAGCCGTCGACCACGGCCGCGCCCTGAGGCCGCCCTTTCTCCGCGCGCGTCGTGCGGAGGCGCGCGGAGCCGTGGTGCGCCGACTAGCCGAGCTGCAGCCTCTGCAGGAGGGGGCGGGCCCACGCGCGGGGGCGCGTGGGCCCTCGAGGTCGGCCTCCCTCCCGCCGTCGGGCTGGCCGAAGCGGTCCGCGTCGACGTAGCGCCCGTGCCCTCTTCGAGGGTCACCCCCGACGTGGGGGTGCCCGAGGGTGGGCCTCCTCGACCTGCTCCAGCTTCAGGCACGGGCTGCGATGGGTGAGCAGGCCGAGGGTCTTCGTCAGCCTGGAGGAGTGGCGCCTCGTCCTCCTCGATGGCGAGTGTACTTCGTATCTGCATCATGATGGCCTGCTGCAGGAGGGTGTTCGTGTCGGGGAGTTGTGGTCGGCTTCTCCTTCTTCTGGCTGTAC